TGTATTTTTCCAGTTGCATAATTCAAAGGTAATTCTGACTTCATATTGAACTGAGATGGACTTTATTCCTTAATATAGGCTAGGGATGGGATACAAGATCAAGAGGAAGACACTCAGCCCTGGTTACCTCCAAACAGGTGTCTTCAGCCACAGCAATGCTCAATGCATTGCCAGCGTACAGCTTCCCACTGACATCTGAGATGGCCTATAGCATCTGGAACATCTGGACGGGGCTCACAGATACGGCCAACAAGCTGTAAGAAACCATGTTCCCGTAGCGCAGCAGCTGGAGGCCAGACAGTAAACTCTAGAGCATCTCAAACAACATTAGACATCAACATTCAAGCAACCAGACAGGATGTTTAACGTCTCATTATAAATCAATAGAGAACTCATCAGCATCGTCAGTGGAGTTTGGAGATTAATTCAGTTCTTCAATTCACTCTACAGTAGACATCTAGTCAACACTGAGTTGAATTAGAGTTGAAATAGACATACGAACTCAGTCATCTTAATCTCAAACTGAGTGCTACCAGGTGTCTGTATTTTTACATTCATCAATCCCAGCAGAGTTCTAACATTCCAATAGCAATAACTGCGCCTCGTATGACCCAAATAAGTTAACAGAAGTTACATTGTTCCCCTTCTCAAGCGGTTCTCACACAAAAATATACTCAACCAGCTTCTTGTTTTCCACCCCAATTAAAGATGCATCTCAATCAAGTAAATGTTTATTTTCTTCACAGGAGAATTACTACAGACAAAAGGAAACTCAGTGCTCATGAGCACAATAGTGCTCTAGTGCCTCCAGAAGGCAAACAAGAAGCATCTGGATTTTGCCCTGGATCATTCCATTACATTACCATTTTAGTACAAATCAGGAGCACATGTTTTATGTGACTCTCCTGATCATGCCCACTTAACATTTAAGTTATAACCTACGTTACTGTGGCAGTGTTGAAGGAAACCATCTTACCAACAAGCTACAAAGCATTTGTAAAGACTACATCATAAATTAAGTTTAATTTGCAACCATCAAGAAACAAATGAACAAAAATAGTGTTTCCAAGCACAAGGGTTTATTTTCTTTTATCTTTTGCTTTATTTTGTCTTAAGGAAAAAAATTAGGGACATAAACACTGATGATAGCAACATATTAATCAACTTCACAATTTCTTGGCTTATATCCAGTTGCAGGAACATCCCACTCACTTCACAAACATGAAATATTAATATTTAATGTCCCTAATATTGAAGTGCAAAAAAGCTACTATAAAAACTGTACCCCTAAAAAATGTTGTCAGGACCCACGGCTACTCTTATGTAGTGACTCCCCCATTACATTCTTTTACATTTAAAGCTGATCGTGTATTTTCCTCTAAAATGTTTATCAGCCATAGCAATACTTCAGTCAGAGATAACCTATCATTGTTGTCTGAGGAATTCACTTACAGGATCCAGTGTAGCTGCATTTTACATGCAAAGCATGTAAAAAATATTTTTCTTCATCAGATTTAGGACATATGACGCACAAAAAGCACAGACAATGAATAAAATTACAGTTATGAAAACAGTAAATTTGAAACACATTAGACACCATAGATGGCATAAAAGTACATGTCCTAAAATGAAGACGTGGTGGTCATACATCATATATGAATGAGTAGACAAAAACTATGGGAACTCACTACTTACCAGGGGTGGATTTGGGAACCTAAAATTAGTCTAAAACTAGAAACCTGTAACTAGATGTCTTTTTCTCTCAGTGATATTCTTCCAGTAGCACCTAATTCTTCCATCAAGCACCATTGTCTCCAACATATTATTTAAGGGTTTTGTAATTTCAGGTGTCTCTCTCTTGCTCTCATGCAATGCCTTTCTTCTGAGAACTGCAGAGGGTTTTATATAAATAATAAGGTACGTAACATCTATGATTGAGGAATTTCCACCTTTCACAGATGGAACTGAAACAGAGCTAACATGCCCCAGATTTACAAATTTTCTGAAGTCATCTTCTTCCAGAAAAGATTACAATAACTCTAATTTGCTTTGGAAGATTACTGTGTCCTAAGTGAACTCTCCTGCAATTTGAAGGCATCTTGTTGCAGTAATATCTAACACAAAAGAGACTGTTATTTTTGGATTTTGGTGATACGTGTCATTACATGTCCAAAACAAGCGAACATTAATGCCACAGAGGTATCAGTCATGACTCTGTAGCTGCGGGCCAGCTCCATGCCATACTTAAAAAAAACTAATTCAAATCTTGCTATGCTTAAAAAACGCATCATATACTCTCCAACCCAAATGACCAACACCAAGTGAGTTCTCCAAATATAAGCTCAAACATAAATTCACTGATTTATGAGCGAATACCTCTATACCAAATAAGAAAAGCCTGATTCCTCAGAGCATCGCCGTCAGCTGCAGCATGATTCAGAATGATTTTTGGCAACAGCAGGCAGCAAGTTCTTCTCATCCTGCTGCAGCCCATTTAACGTTTAAGCCCATGTTTTATGAAGAAGCAAGGTGTTAGCGAAGCTTAGAGTGACTGTTTCTAATTGTTGTGATTAGACAGACGACAAGTAAAATCAGTCTGAGGGCTCATGTGGGAGGCCTTTTTGACAGAGATAAACTTTCCTCTCCCGCTAATTCGCGCACGGCAGTCCTATTAAGCGGAGCAACGTAGAGAAGGGGCTCTCGTCAAAACCTCTCGCTGATAAATCACTTCTTTCCAGCCCCCACCATTCCGTAAAGATCCTACAGCTGGTGACATTTGTGCTCATAAAGCTCCCTGTGGTACTGCTGCCTCTGTTACAACGTGGAAAAAAAGTAACCTTAGCTGGATAACTACCATCTGATCATACACTGAGCTCTCAACCATACAGGCAGAGGGACTCGCTCTTTGCTTCTGTTTTTGGGGGGGGGGGGGGGGGGGGGTACAGGACTGGGTCACCTCCTCCAGCAGGATCGAAGAATGTAGTGTTCAGATTTCGGTCTGTTAGTAGCATGGTGATGCCTGCAGCGAGGACTGGAAGTGAGAGGAGTAATAGAACAGCGGTGATAAGTACGGATCAGACGAATAGGGGTGTGTGTGTGTGTATTGGGTTTTTTTTTTTCTCTTTTTGGTGATATTAATCTCCACAGTACTCTTCTGAATCAATAAATCCATTACAAAATAAAGGCATTTTCATCATCTTACTTCAGCTGCTCTGCCAAAAAAAAAATTAGCCAGCATTTTTGGGTTGATTTGTTACAACCAGCAGAATGGTGAATCTGCCCCCAACTGTTAATAATTAAAAAGTCATTTAAGGCTGCATATCTTCAAAGTATTAAAAATAATTATGTGACAGGACTGTTATGGGGTATGCTCACTTAATATAGCTCAAAGAAATGAGATAAGAATTACTGAAGATATACATAGAAGGTTGCCTTGCAACAAAGGGGATGGGTGTGAGAGAGGGGGAACGCAGGGGGAGATCCTCAAATGGAAAAGACTAAAAAAATTAGAAAATTTTCTCAAAATATTCTTTAGTGGAATCTGCAGCTTTTTACCTAATCTTGGAAACATATAGTCATGCAGATAAGCAGTATTAAATGGATCACTGCTGCCTCTGGAAAGGCAGATAAGTTAGCCTTTGGTGCTTAGATGTTCGCTTTCTGACAGCTGTTCTTCTTCCTCTCAAACTTCCTCTGCCAAGCAAAGATTATTTGGGATTGACAAGTCTGTGCTTTGGAATAAACAAGATCTTTTCTCTGATAGGGTGTTGGAAACGGATGCTTAAGATACAGATAACAGTATAGTCTGTCAGGTCTATTATATAGCTTGAGGGGGTGTCAGGGAAAAGGTACCAAGTCACACGAATACCTACGTATGCCTAACAGTGTTTACGAATCCGTACTCTTCCAAAAGATACCAAGAGAAGGAAATCTTTCCCTCACATGCTGCAGCTCCGACAAGAAAAAGACAATTCTGGTTCCTACCCTGTGGGAGAGTGGAGAGGAAAGCACAGAAAGCGGAGACAAGATGGTGTGGCTGGAGCAGCTGAAACAGTGATCTGGAGAAATGCACACAAAGCAATGCTACGACCTCGTGGAAGTACAAGGTGGTTTGATTTCTTCAAAAAACATATCCCTTTGGGATCATTACCTGCTCTGTAACCAGTAACACCAGCTGCACGTGGCGTATCAGGGCCGCCAGCTTTCATGCAACCATTATCAATCACCAAACTTGCTGGCACATCCATGATTGGAGATGAGGAAAAAGTTACAAATGGTCAAAAATTCCTCAGTGCCACTTTGTTAATCACCAGTGCTAAGGCTGCTGCACTAAATACAGCCTGTGCTTTATCTGCAGCCCTAAAGGGTGGGTGCCCTCTTCTCTTTAAGCTTTACTGTCTCCTAATTCAGGCCAGGATGCTTCACTGGGGAGGCAGTGGACTCAAGTGAACACTGTGGAAGCACAAACATTTTAAGACTTGTCTAAGTTTTAGTACTTTTTTTTAATGCATGCATGGAAGCAGAAGTCATCTGTAACAGCTGTCCCTAATTGCAGTTGCTGCCGCACATGGGCAATAATGTGACACCCTAAAGTTCTGGTGCCGGAATACATTCTTTTTGTTTCCCAGGAGATGTTCTACAGCAAAATAATCCCAAACCAAACCCATTACCTACATGCATATTTACACATATGTGTGGACAAGCATTTGAAAATGACAGTTCCTCATAAATTTATCCATCAGTTATCACTAGTCTTTTTCAGATGTGATGCAACTTAATACACCTGTACAGGCTGCAGGTATCCTTGAACACAGAATCTCCCCTTTTTATTGCCAAAACTGATGTTCAATTGCAAAGAAGCATTGAATCTTTGTTAGACTTTACTGTTAACCACATACTACCATTCACTCCTTCAAATCCAAAGTTTGCTGACATTATGTCAGTACAGATTTTTTTGTTTGAATACCTGACACCAGCCAAGCCCTGCACTTTTCTTTTACCTGGAGTAATGCATAGCTTGATGTCCTGCAATATTAAAATAGAAGTCAGTTGTATGTTTCATCTCATCAGTATGTCCAGAGACTTCAATCCAGTGTGCTATTGGGAGGCAGTAAACTCCATCTACTATGTTGCTCTGGTTGTAAACACAACTGCGATCGTGATGGGGACCATTACCTATAACAGAAGAAAGGATAGTTGCAGGCTCTGTATCTGGAAAACCTTCCGAAAGATTTGCAGGAGATCTGAGCTGAGTATTTAAGGCAAGGAATGGTGCTTGCTGCCTGATCAGACTGCATTTCTCATAACACATTATTAACACCTGAAATAGTTGTAACAGAAGCACTGCCACAAAGCAAATGTTCAGCATTAAAATCAATTTTTGCAAATTATTTTAAAAAAAAACATTAAAGCTGTGTAAGATTCCCAAATCGTCAACCATGGCACCTACAATTTTGAGAATAATTAATTTCATTTCAGTTCCTCATCTGATGTCTGATAATATGAGCCCTCAGCGCTTAACGTTTCTTCTGTGTGACCTCCCTCTGGGGGGTCCAGCTTGCTGTGGCCCGAGGTCTAGCTCTGACACAGCACAGCAACATCACCTTGCCTCGGGCTTACTTGTAAGGAAATCGCCAAGCGATGAGAAAGACCTCGGAGAAAGCATAGAATACAGCCCTGCAAGATCAGAAAGGTAAAACCACAAACAAAGGTAGGACCGGCGACACTGGAGTTGTTACCACCCTCAGGATTCAAGAGGAAAAAACACCAGCGTGGAAAGGCATCAAATCCCAGAGAAGAAAAGCAAGCAGGTGGCAGGCAGTAACCTGGCAGCAATGAAGACCTGTTTCAGGGAGCAGAAAAGGGCAGTCCTCTTCCACCTCATTCACAGCTGCCTGGCCAGCAAAGACCTTTCAGGTGTCCTGCCAGGGGCAGGACACACACCGATGCCTAGCCTAGGAGCTCACTAAATCCCACCTGTCTTTTATGTTTGCTAACCGATAAATAATCGCTTTGTACTCTTCAGATCCATGTCCCACTTACGAGGTCTGCTCATACACAGTAAAGTTGCCCAAAGTGACCCAGGGAGACATGGTCACATCTGCAATGCTGAGTGATCACGATTACCTAAAATGCCTTTGTCTAAAGTAAGAAATTTTTCTTACAGTTTTCCATTATTTAATATACATTTTTCCATTATTATTTCCAACATTATTTTATTTCCATTTCTTAGATTTTTCCATTATTTAACATCCATTACCCCTTCTTCTCTTACAGCAATAGTGTAAGCTTTAGTACAGAAAACCAATTTTTAATGCCATGCCAGAGTAAACAATTTGAATTGAACCGGGTCGCGTCATCAATAAAAAGGTTATCTAGCCTCCAAAAATTCAGTACATGTATATTCTTCCCCCCCAATCATTTTTACATACTTATTGTAATACTAATTGCCATGGAGAAATTACTGTGCAGATTAGAAGTGACCTAGTCCATGACTTGCTTTTAATGTAAACCTGTTACACTTATACATTATTAATTATGTTAGAATATTTCTAAGTAAAATTATGCCCGAAGGAATATCCTCAATTTCACACTGCACGTAAATGCATGACCAGCTTCCAAGCACCACATTTATGGAAATTTCCTAAAGCAAGAGCATTTTGGGTGATGTACTAATGCAATGATTAGAGAATAAGACTAACATTTAATAGTAAAGCTCAAACAATCTCCTTATTTCCAGATGACATGCAGTACTTTTTATCATAATAGTGAAATATTATTATTTACCAAAAAGAAAATACCAGGCAGAAAACTATTTTCTCTTTGCTGAACCATTATGTATTATATGCAATTGTGTGACACAGTTTTTGATAAATAAGGTGAGCAAGATCAGTATATAGCTCCTGAAGCTACAAATCTTACCACTGCATTTTTATCTCATATTTCAAATTGTTTACATATTCTTACCGCTTTTAAACAATGTTTGAAGACAGCAGTACACATCAACAAATACAACAGCATAACATAACCTATGGACGATGCTTAGTTGACGTCACGTATTCAGCAAAATCTTGACAACCACAAACAGCACACCTTGCCTGTCCCCAGGCAGCAATGCACACCACCATGGTCCTGCCCAGATACCCCAAGGCTGTGTCTGCTCCTGACCCCCACCCACCTGGGCTGATGTCCCACCCCAGCCTCAGCCTGTCCCCGTCCTCAGGGAGATGCTTGATGCCCGGGACTGCGGCTGCCTCGGTGCCCCCGCTGCCTGCTCTCAGCTGCCAGCCCCGTGGGGTGTTCCTGCAGCCCCCGGCCCCAGTCCCCAGGGAGCCACCAGCCCTCACTGTACCCTGCCAGTTTTGGACCATGTTCTCAGGATCTCTGGCTCTTTTGCTACTCCCAGCCCTACGCTTCCTTGTGCGTGGGTGCCCTTGTGTGACAGGTACCCCCTGCTCCTGACCCCTGCTAATGTCATCATTCTGCCAAGGTTCCCCAGAAGAACCTGCCTGTCCCCTTAGTGCTGGGTGACACCTCATACACACTCTGGCTCCCTCAATGACTGCCCTTTCCTCCTCCGGCTGCTGCTCCTCTCCCATCAGGGTTTCTGCATGGATTTTCGCCATCATAACCTATGATGTCTCTCTCCTGTTTAATTTCTCCTTTCCCCAAGGTGACAGTCAGTCCTACAAGACAACATTCGCCTCCAAGTCCTCCTTCACTTTCATGATCTCAGTTGCATACCTCCTGCTTTCCCATTTCCAGCTGCTGCTGCTTGAGATGCATGTTCTTCTGTTATTCGCCAGTTTTACTGTCCATCCTTTTCTCCAGCTTTAATTTTCGGCTCTTTTTCTCCTTCCTTCTCTACCATGTGCCTTCTTAAAAGGCAGTAACCTCCCTGCCTTGGAACCTTTTCACCTTCACCATCATTCATTCCCTTACCTACCCTGCAACCACACATGAAAGCAGACCAAGGGTAAATTGCCACGAGATGTTCGTTTCATTTGCTCCCTCAAACAGGTTTTGTCAAATCTCATTCTGAAAAGCTTCCTTCTCTAATTCCTATTTATCGCTGTTGTTTTTTTCTGCACCACGCAACCTCACCTTCCCGCTGGGACATACAGTCTCCTACAGGAATCTCAAAAGGTATGTTTCCAGTTTGGCTGTAATACTCAGGTAAACAGCAGCACCTTGCATTCCTAATGTTTTTCATGAGAATTGCATAGCTCATTACTACCCTTTACAGTTTATACTGATCTATGAATCAACAACTCCCTTATTGAAATACGGTATCTGTGCAACAGAATCTATATGAATATACATTCAACAAATTTATGTATTCATGTGTGTATAAATATATTCATGTATTTTTTTGAATATATATTCAACAAATAAAGTGACGTAATTTCAGACAGGAAGGATAGAGTGCTACCAACTCCAAGAAATACTAGTTTAGAGAACAGTGTGATCACACTAACCTGTGTTTGGGAAGCTGAATTCTCTATTCCCCTTGCAAGAGTTATGAAATAAGACAATTACCACAAACAATCAGGATCTCACTACCCAGGTAATACCCAAACGATACACAAGTGCTTCTTGCCAGTTTGCTTTACAAGATGCATTTAACAAATAAGTTTTGAAAAAAAGAGAAAATTGTTGTTTCAGTTCACGTTATGCTTCTGCTAGCACAGTTTGTCACAGGAAAACTGTAATATTTTGGATGCCATAAAACAACAGTTCAAGGGAACAGTTTCAGAAGTAGAGCCAGGTGACAAGTTTGGAGGACTAATGTAGAATTTATCAATACTTTAGAGCTGCTATTAAAGGGCTAAGGGTTGAATTCTCTCAACTTTTAACTTCCAGAGTCATTTAATACAAAAATAAAAGTCAGCCAATGAAACCAGCTTTCATTCAAGGCAACTGACCATAAAGCCTGTTTGACATAGAAAACAATTAGCATCATTTACATGCTCCGTTATATATTTGCAGAATGCATACAGCTAGGAAAATGGACACAGCTTGGGTGATGAGCAGGAATCATTAGCCGGATAACCCTCATTTCCTCCTTTCCCACCTCTGTCTTTCTAAACCTTTCCTTAGGAGTTTCCTCTGCCTGAAGCAAGGGACATCAACCTCACGGTATGAGGTACTTCAATGCAAAACATGCCTTGGTTTCATCTTAGCCCCTTTAGCTCTGCTGATGGAGCAGGGTCATTGCAGCTCATCTGTGGTAGAGTTACGAGACGCCCTCAGACTCGGAAGACCCAGTCCAAGACTTCTCACAAGCACTGGAGGAGCTCATGCCAAGAACAAAATAGCTTTCAGATGCAAGATAAAAATCTGGCACACTAAGTGATACACTTACTCTCCCCTCCCTCACCACAACAGGCCAAGCAAAATCCTTTCTGGATTTCGATCCCTGGAGCATGGGGACTTTCCCATGCCCAGGAGAGCGAGTTGGGCAGAGTGTTAGCTACAGGCAGCGACCAACAGTACTTCAGATCAAAGACCACCACTTCCTCGTTCCCTCTCCAGTCCAGAGCTGTTGGTGGGGTTGATTAGTTTGGGAGGACACAGAGCGCGTGATGAAGGAGGTGGGACCAAGCTCAGCAGAACCTGAGTCATCTCAGGGTATCAGAAATGTGTTGCTGCCCTTTCTAATTTCTTACCTTCTGCTCAGGCACCAGAGAGAAAAGACAGTGGCCAGTGGAGACAGAAGGGCCGTGAGACTGCCTATATGCAGAATCTGGACATGCCTGCTCGTGTCTGAAGCCGCTCATACCCACACCAACTTCCTACTACACTTCAACCTTAAGTCTGTCCCACCTCACAAGTCCCTGTTACCTGCTTTATCTGAAAGGCCACCGCATCTTTGGATTTTCTAAGTGACTTCCCTAAGAAGTTAGATGCAGCAGTCCTTCACTATAGAAATTACCCTCACCTTTATTGCTCCCTTCTCAAATGCACACAGCATTTCATAAAATAAGTTATGAAAACTGAAGGCCTAGTGCTGAAGTTTAGTTGCTGTACCTGAAGCTGGGGAAGTCCCCACCTACAAGCTGGGAAGGCTAACCCGACCGTGGTGGTCAGGGTGCCTCTACATCACCAGCTGGCATGGCACAAAGAGAGAAGGTCCAGGGTGTAATTTGCTGCAATCCAACACGCTTCCAGGACCACAAGTGCACATCACATCTTTACCAGCAACAAAGTGTGCCCCACTGGCCAGTCCTGGGCACACACCACTAACTCACAGAGGGAAGAGCTGGAGGATTTTGCATCCCTATCACAAGCCGGGTGCAAGGAGGGAAAGGGCTTGAAGAGCACCAGTGCTGAGCACGAGGGCGTACTGCAGAATCCTGAGGGCAGTTGCAAGGAAAATTCTCGGGAACCCTCTGGTGCATAAATTGTTAATGTAAATACACCGGTCCACTTACACTGACTCATCTCCCCAGGGTAACCCAAACCTCATGCAAAGACTTCAAGTTACTTTGGATAAACCCCCCACGACCCCACCGGCCTGCAGAGTGGGAATTCACCATGACTCTTATCCAAACGCTCCGCTTGGGCACAGCAGCGGTGCATCTCCTCAGCAACACAAGAGCACCCCTCTCAGAACCAAACACTGTTTTCTCACAGATTGCTCACAGCACACACCACCAGTCCACTGGGCAGGTTTCCAGGTACCTTTTATATGAAATAAACAATTATTTGGGTGAGATGTTAATTATTTTTTTTTAAAGTCAAAAAACCCCATTGTGCAGCCTCAAAGATTTGGGAGAGTTTTAACACAATTTCAACTTTTCTGTTCCTAGAGCCAGCAGTAAGGCAAAGAAAATCAAATCTGTTTTCCACTCGCCTGTTCATCTTTGCAGAAAAGAAAACAAGCACAAGTGCCCTCTGACAAAGGGCAATACACAACAAGAAACACGTTTTTACAGCCCAAACCACTTCTAAATTAATATTTTTCTTCATCTTTTTCTTATTCATATTGTTCCAAGTGGCAAAACATCGGTTTAGTTATTTATTTTTGGGAGGCAAATTCACAGTCATTTGAAAACCTGTAAAATTCAGTCATAAAAAAGGGTAAATTAAATATCTGAATAGTACTGATCCGCCTGTTAATTGATCGTGTGGACATTCCCATCTAAAGAACAAAAGGAATTTGGAAGAGTTTATGAGAAGATACAGGCCCTCATTTAACCGATAAGGTAACACTCTTTTTCCTTCAATAAGGTCCAGAATGATTTTATTTAAACTCTGTCTTAGTGACTTTTCACTGCAAAAGAGCTTATCTGAGAGAGGAACATGAAAATAAGTTTCTAGGCATTAAATTATAAAGTTTCTCATTGCTTCAGCAACCCACTCATTGCTCTCTCTACCGTGGATGGTTGCGCAGAGGAATCCACTGATGCAGGCAGGGAACTGCTGGAGAAAGAAAGCAACCAGCAGCCCTGCTTACAGCTCAAGGCTCACAGTGGGCTCTTTCCCAGTTTGCAAGTATGGCTTCTGGTTTCACGCATACGACAGATGACAAAGTGGCATACGAGGGAAGGTGGCTGCACAACCAAACAAAAGATCAAAATCCAAAACCTCTGCATAACCAAGAAATGGCACTGGCAAAAGATGGAGACAAGAACAAAACAGATGAAGATACAGTAAGAAAAAGATATCCAAAGATCAAGGACTGGAAGAAAACAGGCAGGGACCAGAAGAGGGTATTCTGAAGTTTGAGCTAACCACATGCAGTAACAGAATACAGAGAAAAACTTTCAGTTACTCTTTTATTACAGCTGTACTGTGGGGATCAAAAAAAGTATAATCCAACAGTGTGCCAACAGCATAGACTCATCTTGACACGGAGGACAACTGCACACAGATTGCGCAATGTTCTGGAAGAGTCACAGTGGTGAAATTATCAGCTTGATCTTAAAAGATAATGAGCAAAATCTGGGTCAATGAAATTTCTCAGCACCATTATGTGTGGTGAACAAAAAAAAACCCATGAATGAACGAAAAGTAAGATTGTCTCTTCCACTTCCTCTGCAGAGCTCTTTGCAGCAGAGCCACTTAGTGTACTGCTCAGCCACAGCTCTCCCAGCTTGTTGCATACCTTCCTCCAAGTTTTCATTTTCTCGTTTTTTTCCTGCATGCGGGAAGGTGTGTAGAAACTCCAGGGCACAGGGGCGGCCCTAGAGCTGCTGTGTATCTCATCCCTGCCTTAGCCAGACCCTAAACTACAGGTGTACGACTTCCAAGCCTCCAAACCCCGGCAAAGTCAGCGTGTTTCTCAGTTCACTGCTACCTTTGAAAAAAGACAGGGCTACTTAGATGGCCCACAATAGCTTAAACAGCAATTAACAAATCCAAACAGCAAGCAGCCAGACAATTTTCAGATCACCTACTTATAAATCTGTAAGAACAAAGACTTACTTTCTAAATCTTCGTCAGAAATTTTGCATGAACCAGCAGGCTTTACACATCAAGCCAAAATTTTAAGTATGCCTAAATATTACAAGTAATTACATTTGAAATATTAAACCATGTCCTTTTAACAAGGTAAATTAACATCTTGAGTTCATGCTTTCAAATTTCCCTGGAAGACTGGAGTAACATCATAAGTGCTATA